AAAATCTTTTCTTCAATTTATATAAATTTAAATTGAATCTTCGAATTGAGGTACGTTTTCATTTAATCTTCCAACATAGGTTTTCTTCTGAATATCCTTCTTCTACTTGACATGAATTTCAAATGAATCTTCCAATTGACATTGGTTTTCCTTTAAAAATCTTTTCTTCAATTTATATAAATTTAAATTGAATCTTCGAATTGAGGTATGTTTTCATTTAATCTTCCAACATAGGTTTTCCTCTGAATATCCTTTCTTCTAATAGACATAAATTTCAAATGAATCTTCAAATTGACATTGGTTTTCCTTTAAAAATCTTTTCTTCAATTTATATAAATTTAAATTGAATCTTTGAATTGATGTACGTTTTCATTTAATCTTTCAACCTAGGTTTTCCTCTGAATATCCTTTCTTTAAATTGACATAAATTTTAATCAAATGTTTAAATTGTCATTTCCTTTGAATATCCTTCCTTCTATTTGGCAAAAATTTCAAATGCATCTTCAAATTGACATAAGTTTCCATTGAATCTTTTTACTTTAAACACGACATAACTTTCCATTGTATCTATCTTGTAATCTTCAAATTGGCAATAATTGAAACTAAATATAAAGATGCGGTTTTTCAGGTTTGTCTTCTCAGCCCCCCCCCCTAGTAGGTCAGATTTATAAAAATGACCTATCATAAAAAATAAATAGTAGAAACTAAATAGTAGAAAGGTTGGCTGTTTTTCAGGTTTGACTGAATTCTCCCAGAAGTCTTCACCCTCGTGATTTCTACAAATTAATAATATTATATTAAATTCACTTATTGAGAAAGTCCCTTAGAAAATCAAATTTCGGGGCTAACTTGACTTAATTAGGAGCAGGGTGGCTTAGGTGGAAGGGGCTACGTTAAGTCAGTCTCACGGCTTCACGTGACACGACCAGGGGGACTTGACTTCAAATGTTTCCTTTTCTTGGTCTCCATTTTTCCGAACAGCTGGATTAACCGTGAAAATCGTACGTTAAACATAAGGTAATTTTATTTATTGATTTACAACGATTGTACGGTAAACGGTAAGTGTGAGCGGTTACGTAACGCTAGGAACGTTGTTATGTAACCAGGCTTGGGTCCTACCATGCGTTTCCGCGATGGCTTACGAGGGGGAAAATCTAATTGATAATATTTTCCGGCAAAACCTGGTTTCCGACTTCATAAAACAAAGGTCAAATTATTAATAAATTTTTTGTACATATTGCATTCTTTTATGGTTTGCCTCATAGACCCAACCAAGATCGACACCGATGCCAATGGGAGCATTTTAAATCTTTCAAACTTTAGGTATTGCAAAACTAGGAATAATCTTAGAAAATTGGTCATAGATATTTATATCAACTTTAAACAATTATCATTAAAATACACAACTAGAGAGATTAGACTATAATTTGTAAAGTTAATAGTAAAAAAAATTAAGTAATAAATAATAATATATAAATAGATACCTAATAATACAACATGATACCTCTAATTTTACATTAATATATTATTTTTCGTTTCACTACTCATGGACCTGGAGGTTACTTGTTTTAAATGATTTAGAGAAATCTGATTTGCAGTTAAAAAAATCATTTGGATCAGAAGTAGAAAAGTGTCAAAATTTATTTTGGCAGGCACCTCTGGCTATTAAAATTTGCTTATCTATACTTTGTAGCTTGTTCGATAAACAAACAAAACTAGTATAAACAAAATAGTAGGTTTAATCACTAAAGATGACGAGAAGCCAAATGTCGTTTGACAGACCAAACCAGCGAACATAGGCAGACCAAAATGATCACGGAAATATTCCAATAACTTTAGTTTATTGATCTAAATGAAATAAATATGAGCAAGAAATAGTTATATTTATTTCAATTTAATCGTGATAAAATATTTACGGACTGAAAAAATTACAATATTATGATAATAAAAAAATACAGTTTGATGATTGGTTGGTGGTTGATTTGTTATATTTACAAACCCAAAATCATTTAGGTAGTAATAAACCAATAAAAATCTTAACTATTTACCATTTTGAACTAAATGAAAAATGATTAACAAAAAAGTAGTTTACAAATAATCCCAGGAAAATGTATGTTCGCACAATTTCACTTAGAAATAAAGAAAAGTGACGAGTAAAAATAATTGTTTGTTATTTTCACAAATGTTCCATATTTACCAACTCTTTTAATAAGGTAAACAATCTTGAAATATCTTCTTATCAAAAATATATTTGACCTGTCCCAACACGATTATATTATTTCAGTTTAAAATGTCATATGAAAAGGTCCAGTGAAAATAAAGGTCTAGGTAAAAACGTAGTCATATTTTTTAAATATTGTATATTCAGATTTGTAAATAGATACTTTTTCTAATAACATGCGTTTTCAGCAAGACAACACGCAATTTGAATTTTTTTCCATCCAGATCCATGCAACGAGCATCACGACTCGTCGTTAGAAATAATTCTTCAAGCAATCAACTTTTTTTGTTTTGTTTTTAAACTTCTGAAATCGCGTTTAGTACATTGATTCTGATTAGGGAGACTTATCTAGACGGTTATCTGTAGTAATAAGATAGATCTAACCCTGTAAAAGATATATTTTTTCTGTGTGAAGATTATGTTGTAACACAAAACCGTCGAAACTATAGTTCATCATAAGAACGATTACAATATTTAACATAATGTAATGTACACAAAATCCATGTGGATTTATGTTGTACACTTATATTATACGCCTTACTTAAACTTTACAGTGAATACTTCAACCTGGCATAAATTTTAATTGAATCTTCAAATTGAGATAAGTTTCCATTGCAACTTCAAATTAACTAAGGTTTTTCATTTCTTCAACTTATTATAAATTTCAATTGATTTGTTTAAAATTTACTTGAATTTTCAAATTGATATAAATTTCCCATTGAATCTTCAAATTGACATAGGTTTTCCTTTGAATATACTTGCTTCAACTTGACATAAATCTCAATTGATTTTGCAAATTGTCATAGGTTTTAATTGAATATCCTTCCTTCAACTAGACATCAAGTTCAATTAGTCTTCAAATTGACATAAATTTCCATTGAATCTTCTTACTTTAAGCATGAAATAAGTTTCCATAAGTAGAATCTTCAAATTGACATAGGCTATCCTCTGAATACCCTCCATTCAAACTGGCATAAATTTCAATTAACACTTTAAATTGACACGAATTTAGGTTAACACTGAATATCCTTCCTTCAACCTGGCATAAATTTTAATTGAATCTTCAAATTGAAATAAGTTTCCATTGAAACCTCAAATTGACTAATGTTTTCCTTTCTTCAACTTAATATAAATTTCAATTGATATGTTCAAAATTGTTACATGAAATTTACTTGAATCTTCAAATTGACATAGGTTTTCCTTTGAATATACTTGCTTCAACTTGTCATAAATCTCAATTGATTTTGCAACTTGTCATAGGTTTTAATTGAATATCCTTCAAGTAGACGTCAAGTTCAAGTAGTCTTCAAATTGACATAAATTTCCATTGAATCTTCTTACTTTAAGCATGAAATAAGTTTCTATAAGTAGAATCTTCAAATTGACATAGGCTATCCTCTGAATACCCTCCATTCAACCTGGCATAAATTTCAATTAACTCTTTAAATTGACACGAATTGACATAGGTTAACACTGAATATCCTCCCTTCAACCTGGCATAAATTTCAATTGAATCTTCAAATTGAAATAAGTTTCCATTGAAACCTCAAATTGACTAATGTTTTCCTTTCTTCAACTTAATATAAATTTCAATTGATTTGTTCAAAATTGTTACATGAAATTTACTTGAATCTTCAAATTGACATAGGTTTTCCTTTGAATATACTTGCTTCAACTTGACATAAATCTCAATTGATTTTGCAAATTGTCATATGTTTTAATTGAATATCCTTCCTTCAACTAGACATCAAGTCCAATTAGTCTTCAAATAGACATAAATTTTCATTGAATCTTCTTACTTTAAGCATGAAATACGTTTCCATAAGTAGAATTTTCAAATTGACACACGCTATCCTCTGAATACCCTACATTCAACCTGGCATAAATTTCAATTAACTCTTTAAATTAACTCGAATTGACATAGGTTATCATTGAAATCCTTCCTTCAACCTGGCATAAATTTTAATTGAATCTTCAAATTGATATAGGCTATCCTCTGAATACCCTTCATTCAACCTGGCATAAATTTCAATTAACTCTTTCAATTGACACGAATTGACATAGGTTTTCCTCTGAATATCCTTCCTTATTGACATAAATTTCAATTGAATCTTCAATTTAACGTAGGGTTTGCACTAAATATCATTCCTTCAACGTGACATAAATTTAACTGAATCTTTAAATTGTCAAGGTTTCCCTCTGAATATCCTTCTTTCAATCTAGTATCAACTCTAATTAAATCTTCACATTGACATAGGCTTTCCTCTGAATATCCTTCTTTCAATCTAGCATCAGTTGCAATTAAATCTTCAAAATGACATAGGTTTTCTTCTGAATATCCTTTCTTCAACTTATATAAATTTAAATAGAATCTTCGAATTGAGAAAGTTTCCATTGAAGCTTCAAATTAACATTGGTTTTCCTCCGAATACATTTGCTTAAATTTGGCATACATTTCAATTGATCTTTAAATTTATGTAAGTTTCCATTGAATCTTCCAACATAGGTTTTACTCTGAATATCCTCTTTTTAACTTGACATAAATTTTAATTGAATCTTCTTACTTAAGCATAACATAAGTTTCTGTTGAATCTTCAAACTGGCATTGCTTTTCCTCTGTATATCCTTCCTTTAACTTGACGTACGTTCCCGTTGAGCTCCTTAGTTCAACATGAGGTAAGTTTCTATCGGATGCTATTACTTCTTCTTCTCACAATTGCCCATTCACTTGCATCGAAATATTTAATTGTACTAATTTGTACATTTGCTTAAACATTAGATGGCTTCAACAAGCAGTGGGATGGATATTGTCCAAGAAGAAATTCGTCCTCTTCTCGATCCTCAGCCGAGTACAAGCCAGGCACCTCCGGATTTTGTCATAACGCCTTCGTTTACATCGTCGAAAAGATCGTCTCTGCTTAGGCAGGTGAGTCGAATAGTTTTTTTTAAATTTATAAAACATATTTAAATAAAATTCTTTCTTGATGAGGAAGCCTGCAGGTGTGGTTCACAGAATGTTACCTTTTGGACTAAGTAAAATTCTGTAATATGTACACTGAGCTTTTTGTTTATTACAAGTTATAATCCCGTTTAAAAGTTCAATTAGTAAATACTAAATTTTCATAATTGAGTTTATTACCAAACGAAGGAGTTACGGTTTAAAGAAGCGTAAAAACATGAAGGTAAATAAAAAATGAGATTTGTTTTTTTCTAATTATAGGTATCTTGGTCTTACTTCAACGATTTTGCCATTTTCGTTGCCGTTCGTGCCAACCTAGACGTTAAAATTTAAGCGATTGTTGAATATTTATACAGGGTTGTTCGATGATAAGGGTAATCAGGTTTTTCTATTTCCCCACCTTCAAATTTAACAGCATATAAAATGTATAATTTGATCATTACTTAGTCTGCCTATCATGATGATGGTTTATTGTATCGAATGTACTCCGTATCGACGTTCTACTCTGTTGAGATAAAGTAGCGACTTCAACAAGTTAGAAATATTAATGAAAAATATTTTATGAAGAATAAGAAATACGCACTGTAAGGCGAAGACTTTCAGAATCTGGATTAGAGAGAAGGCCTGCCACTGGTCCAGAACTTCTGGCAAGACACAGAACAAGGAGACGTTGTGGAGGTGGTGGTGTTATGGTTTGAGCAGGCATGTATGGAAGGTCGCACGAGCTTGATTTTCATCGAGGATTCCCTAATAGCCGTGGGGTACATTGAAGATATGTTATCAGAAGAAGTTGTTCCTTACAGGCTTTATTTTTATGCATGACAAGCCAAGGCCCAACACAATAGGATGGTTGGTGACTATTTAGAACGGGCTTCAATTCAATGTTTTGTAGCATGTAGCACCGACTGAATACCTTTTATGCAATTTGACATATATTTAAATTGAATCTTCTTACTTAAGTATAACACAAGTTTCCATTGAATCTTCAAACTGAAATCGATTTTCTTCTGAATATCTTTCTTTCAACTAAACATAAATTCCAATCGACTCTTGAAATCGTCATAGGTTTTCTTGTGATTATCCTCCCTTAAACATGACATAAATTTCGCTTGAATCTTCAAATTGGCATATTATCATTGAATCTTTTTTTATTTATCCCTCCACCTCCCCGCCGTACCTTAGGGAGACCCCATACCGGCGGACCTCGGCCTCTGATCTAGTTTTACTTCTAATTACTACTAGGGGTACTTAACACCTTCCTTCGGTCTCGCCTTGTGAGGGGAGGAGGCTCAAGGAAGGATATTTCCATTGAATACAAATTGAAATCGATTTTCTTCTGAATATCCTTCTTTCCACTAGACATAAATTTCCATCGACTCTTCAAACTGACATAGTTTTCTTCTGAATATCCTCTCTTAAAATTGATATAAATTTCACTTGAATCTTCAAATTGACATAGGTTTTCTACTGAATATCCTCCATTCCATGTGCTACAAATTTCAATTGAATATTCTTAGTTAAGTGCAACATATGCTTTCAATTGAATGTTCCTATTGACATAGGTTTACACTGAATATCCTTCCTCCAACTTGACATAAATTTCCATCAAATGTTTGCATTGACATAGGTTTTCACTGAATACCTTTACAATTTGAAATATATTTAAATTGTACCTTCTTACTTGAGCATAACATAAGTTTCCATTGAATCTTCAAATTGGTGTGTTTTCTTCTGAATATCCTTCTTTCAACTAGACATAAATTTCAATTGACTCTTCAAATTGATATAGGTGTTATTTTGAATATCCTTCTTTCCACGAGACATAAATTTCAATTGACTCGTCAAATTGACATAGGTTTTACATTGAATATCCTTCTTCCAATTTGACACATTTAAATTGAATCTTCTTAAGTATAACACAAGTTTCCATTGAATCTACAAATTGAAAACGATTTTCTTTTAATTTCTTTCTTTCAACTAGACATAAACTTCAATCGACTCTTGAAACTGTCATAGATTTTCTTGTGATTAACCTCCCTTAAGTACGACATAAATTTCGCTTCAATCTTCAAATTGGCATATTACCATTGAATCTACAAATTGAAATCGATTTTCTTCTGAATATCGTTCTTTTAACTAGACATAAATTTCAATCGACTCTTCAAACTGACATAGGTTTTCTTCTGAATATCCTCTCTTAAAATTGATATAAATTTCACTTGAATCTTCAAATTGACATAGGTTTTTTTATGATCCTACTGAACGTGAAACAAAGCAAAGGTTTTTCTTTTTAAAGGAATTTCAGCTTATTAGTCATCTGAGCGTATTCTCTTGGCGGTCACGGAACTAATAAATTTGTGGATGGAGCCGCTAGATAGCAGATGTATATAGATTGGTGAAAGTAATTCAGAGTAGCAGTATTAATTTTTTTCTATTAAAAAATAGAATTAGATCTAAAATAGATATTAAATAAGAAAATTCAAAATGTACAAAGGAAATAGGTCAGGTTTTTTGCCAGCAGGTGTTCCAACCACCATCCTGGCTAAGGGGAGGTACCTTCATTTTGACACAGACCTTTGAAGCCTATAGAATTTCGAACCCCTGCTACCCCCGAACAATTGCCGCCCTTCTGAATTTTTCAAGCTACCATGGCTTCCGAAACTATTACGATTATTTCAGATCTGGAAAGCTAATCAGAATTCGACGGTATTATCTTTACCAAATGGTTTTGGTTGGTAGATGTGAAGCTTCTTTTCGCACGAATTCCAATCAAGAATCACAAACTTCAAAATTTTTTGGCTACTTTGTCAGAAGCGATGAAACATTGAACATCACGACGCTTAAATAATTTATTTTCTTTAGAGCAAAATATTTTTAGAGGTTTATATTGTTAAGAATGACTAAGACTAATGGACGTGCGGTATTCCATTCCTCATAATTATCAGTATGTTCAGATTTAGAGTAACTGGCTGTACGATTACATCAGTCACAATCACTTACTCTTAGTTTTACCGTTTGGTTTTGGTCAGACGCGTTTTTCAGGTTAAGTTGTGATTAATTAAATAAAAAAAGGTCACAACTGATTAAAAAACACGCAAACTATCCACTGAGAGGCCGAAAACAGTCAGAGAGATCAAAACAACGAGGAGCAGCCTAGAGAAAAAATCCCGTAGACCTCAAGAGAAAACTGGCACAAATCTCACTATTTAATAGTTATTAAAGTTTATTATATTAAAAGAGCAATAACTGGCACAAAAGCCAGACAAACTACTGACTAAATGCCGAAATCTTTTTCCAAGGCGTTTTGGTTTGTTTATTCTCGCTAGTTTATATGTCAGACCAATTTATACATTTAGCTAGTACTGTCGTCAGTATGTTATATTTAAAGAGAAACAACTGACAAAATATCGGACAGACGAACCAATGACAAAATGGCTAAACCTTTCTAGTTGAGGTCTGTAAGGTGATGAACCTGTTTCCGATCATTTTGTTCGTCCTATATTCGCTGTTTAGGAAAGTCAGACCAATTTATACATTTAGCTAGTACTGTAGCTAGTATGTTTTATTTAAAGACAAATAACTGACAAATTAAAGGACATATAAATCGATCAACTTGGCACAAAATGCCTAAACTTCTCTACTTGAGATCTGTAAGGTGATGAACCTGTTTCCGATCATTTTGTTCGTCCTATATTCGCTGTTTAGGAAAGTCAGACCAACTTATATATTTGGCCATTATTTTGGTGAGTATGTTGTATTTAAAGAGAAACAACAGACAAAATATCGGACAGACGAACAAATGACAAAATGACTAAAGCTTTCTAGTTGAGATCTGTAAGGTGATGAACCTGTTTCGATCATTTTGTTCGTCCTATAATCGCTGTTTAGGAAAGTCAGACCAATTTATATATTTGGCCATTATTTTGGTGAGTGTGTTGTATTTAAAGATAAACACTGACAAAATATCGGACAGACAAACAAATGACAAAATGGCTCACTCAATATGGGTAAATGCCAAATTCGACTGACAGATGAGAATCGACAGATTAGAGTGATCATAGATCATCTACAAATTTATAACTGAAAGAATTCTGGCTGTGGGTGGTACGATGTTCTTAGCCATCTGCATATATCTTCCAGTTGCGAATAATCTATAAAATGTTTCCTTCGTATGTTTATTTCTTTAGAGATTATCATTGAGAATTTGTATCTTAATACGACGAGATCTTCGAGAGAGCATTTTTTTCTTTTTTTACGAGGGTTTGAAACATCAGAGGTCATATTGATCTACGGGGTGACGGTGTTTTTGAAAAAAGCTCCTTGTAAGTATGTCGGGTTCGAATGAAGGGCCGCTGGATACGTTACCTTACAGTGATGAACGCCTTGTCAACACCTAAACCACTGCGGCCACCCCCTGCATGGTTTGTGACTTACGCTTTACTGATTTTTCAAAATATCTTTCTCAATTTCAGATATTTCTTGGGTTTGTTGTCGCTCTACCGAGTCTGCCGTGTGGCATGAGTCTGGCGTTTTCTGCCACTTCATTCGAAGAGTTAAACTTCACAGTAGACGAGGCGTCGTGGTTTGGTGAGTCTAAGCCTAGTTAAAATGAAACTCAATTAATTTTATCGTTTTATTTACAGCGAGTGTGACATACATGGCTATACCGATTGGATGCTTGATTGTTGGAGAACTGATGGATAAGTACGGGAGAAGACCTGCATTGATATTGATAAACGTGGTGAATTTTGTCGGCTGGCTCGTGTTGGCCGTGCCCTCCTCACAGCCCAGCGTTTACAAACTGATATTTGGAAGGATTTTAACAGGCGTCGCTGTCGGCCTGGCTAGCATCCCCGCGTCGGTTTATGCAGCGGAATGCCTCTGCAGTGCAGATTTGCGCATTCGAAGTTCACTGGTGACCTGGTCGACGGTTGCCCTGGGCGGAGGGATATTTGCCGTTTTCACATCCGGCTCATACCTCGAATACCATGATGTCGCGAGTATGGCGACCCTGTTTTCTATCGTGGCGTTGATCCTGGTTGCTATTTTTATACCCGAGAGTCCAGTCTGGCTGAGCATGAAGGGCAGGCACGGGGATGCCGAATGGTCGCAAAAGGAGATCAACATCGTCCCTCCGCCTCATCCGATCGAACAACCCTCCGAAGTCGAAGATTATCCCGTTCTGCCAAAGCGGTATCCAACTCCGCCTCCCAGGCCCGAAACATTCAAAGAACTGCTCAAGCCCGAGGTGTACAAACCACTTATGATTATGATAGGATTTCTCTTCTTCCAGCAATTTTCCGGCGTTTACGTTATGATCGCTTACGTGGTTGATATAATCAGAGCTTCTGGAGTCGTCACCTTGAGCGCTTATTCCGTTACAGCTGTAGGAGGTGGGGCGATTTTATTGGTTTGCTTGATCGCAAGTATGATCTACCCGGCTACGGGAGTCAGGTCCGTCGCTACGTTTTCCGGGGCTGGGATTTTTCTGACGATGTACGCAAACGGTACGTTTCTTATGTTGAGACCGTACTGGGCTGCTTCTGCGGAATGGCACTTCCTTCATTGGGTTCCGATTGTGCTGATATTGACCAACATCGTAGTGAGCACAATCGGATTCCTCGTCTTGCCATGGTCCATGATGGCGGAGGTTTTTCCTATCAACGTCAAAGGCGTGGCTGCGGGTTTAGCGACGTGCATCGGGTACATCTTCAGCTTTATAGTGCTCAAGACATATCCTTACATCCAACTCGGGCTGGGTGTCAGCGGGGTGTTCTTTTTCTTTGGCACTATGGCTCTTTTAGGGACTATATTCGTTGCTCTGTTTCTCCCTGAAACCAAGGGCAAAACCCTGGAAGAAATCGTGGACGGTTTTTCATCCCGTACTAAACGGAAGTTTTAATCGACATTTTAAATGCCGTCAATCTTGTAAATATTTTAAACACCATTTTTAATTGCATTTGTATAAAAAAACTTTTAAAAAATATATATGATTTTTCTTGCTACTTATATTAATTTTCGAATCACTGGGTGAATCTATTTTTTATGCGAAACATTTAAAAAATATATATTTCATTTACTATTAATTAACAATATAAACTTAGCCTTATTTTTCAATTTGTGCAATATTTTGCATGTGCCGTCGGAATTTTACAATAAATAAATATTGAAATTTTTAAAAATTACAAAAAAATTTAAATATTGATCATTGAAAAAAAAACATGGCTGCCAAACATAAAAATCTACTTATTTAGTAATTATTAATATTTATTAGCAAAATATTAGGTTTTAATTTAGCACAAATAGTATTATCTTGTAATCAAAATAAATTACTTGCAGTTCCGTAAAACGAAATTTTAACCATTCTATACTTACAATAATTATCTATTCCATTTAAATCTACTTAGTCTATTACCTATTAATTATATTATTATTGTATTAATATTATATCAATACATTTGAGTTTAAAAAAATTATTTTGTTCATTTATTCTTTTTTTTGAGGGGTCCCCATTACCCAAACTCCTAATAATATTGAAATTAAAAACTTAATCAGTTTTATGTAGTCCATCGTACAAATCCAGAAACCGGCGACCATATCAACCCCTTTGAACGTCAATGACGTGGGATGAGAGATCACTCAATATTTCTTTTGAGCTTTGCCCTCAATGGAGAACGTGGATAAAAACCTTCTTCATACCTAATATGGAAAAGTCCATCCCTTGTTTACCTCTCGTCCATTACCAAGTTAAAGCCACCGCCATCCCGATCACATTCGGACCTCATTGATCAGAACTACACATTCCTTAATGTGGGACTTGTCTCTTTATCATGTCCCAAAAGTTCTACGCTCAGAAGAACATGCTGGTCAATCCACTGTTATCCCTACATCCTTCAAGAAACGGTTGACAACTCGACCTAAATACATTGTCAATAAAAAGAAAGGAAATTACAGAATGTGTCAAGGGAAGCTGGAACAAACTGCGAATCCTAATAGGATTCCTAACAGGACACTGCAAATTAAATGGACACGTAAAGAAAATTGGAATAATCCAAGATGGCACATGCAGATTCTGCAAGGAGGCAGAAGAGACACCAACACATCTACTAACAAACTGCGGAGCTACAATAGCCCGCAGGAGGAAATGTTTTGAGATGTATAATGTGACCATAGAAGAGCTTCAATCATTGAAATCGGGCCTATTAATCAAGTTTCTTGATGAAATAGGACTCACCGATGTGCTTTAGGCAGAGCACGGGGGATACCTGAAACCATATCTACATATCTTCATGTACATCTTGGTGATCATTTTCACCGTTTGCCGCAGAGTTTTAGACGACGGTTTTTACTTGTACGGCGAAAATGAAAACAGTTATAACATTGCAGAGGATTAGGTATGTATTTGCGAACACTTACTTTTGTAAACTCAAGATTTAATTTATCAGGGATTTGGGGTTTTTGGAAAGTTAGTGTTAGGAAAGGTGTCGCTAACTGTTTTCATGATTCAATGCTTGAGACTGAAGTTCGGCCACCAGTTCATTATCATTACAGTTAATCAGTTCCGGTACGTAGAGTATACCTCTAGAAAGGTTTAGGTATTTATGAAGGGTAAAAGATACGGCAATGTTTCAAATGATTTTATATTTTTTAAACTGAGAAAATTTTTTTTCACTGTCGATCTCAAGTAAAATACTTTCATTTCTTAATAATTTCAAGGAAACGTTTGGAGCATAGCTTTGAGAGACAGATCTCGAAAGGGTTAAAGTCTTTAAAAGTCTCGTTCATTTCACANTTTTAATTCTTCCATTCAAATATGACAAATAAAATAAACTAATACTACATAACAATAATAAGAAACAAAACAAAATAACATTTCTTTTTCTTTATCCTTTTTTTCCCGCTCCGCCTCAAAAATTCCTGAAAAAGTAAGAAATCTTGCACGCACAACTTTCATTCAAACATTAGCAGGCAAACTTCAGATAAAACAATTTAGGAAAAGGCCTAAATCTCATTATAAATTCCAATAAATTTCAGAAAGGTGAAAAGTGCTCTTCGAAAGGAACAAAGGGGACCCAGTAACTCCTGTAAATCTCTCGAAAAGTTAAGCCTTTGCCTAAAGGGTTGCAAAGTGCGGCAGTCGACCAAAATATATTTTACTGTCAGAATGATACGTACTCCATTCGCATACATCGAGGACAAGTTGCCTATTAAAAGCCTATTATGGATTAGCCTGATGTGACCTATTCGCAATCTAGAGAGAATCACAAGTTCTTTTCTCTCAAGTTCCTCAGTCGGCCATTTATGTACAACTGGCTTAATTTTTTTCATACATCTCTACAGACATTCTATCTTGCCGCCCACTTCCGTTTGATAATGTTTTTAACATAAACGACTATATCATCCAGGCGGAGAGGAAATTGATCTGTTCTTTGTGGATGGTTTGCATTCCTTGCCTGTTGATCAATTTTTTCATTTCCAGAAATGCCAACATGACTAGGAACCCAAACGAATACCAAATGTTTCTTAAGTGTTCTGATTTCATAGAGATATTTGTGAATTTCTAAGATGTACGGGTCAACCGAGAAATTATTTTTGATGACTTCGAGGCCAATTTTCGTATCAGAGCAAATAATGGCATTACAAATTCCTTGCCATTACTTTATAATGCTCAATGATCTTCTGATTGCATGACTATTAAAAACACTTTCCTCCTCATGATGGTTAGGGTGTGGTGGAATTTTTCATTCATTTCGGATTATTTATACAAAATGAAAGAAAGAAAAAAAAAAACGTAAAAAAAGTATGGTCTGGTAAAAAAAAGGATAATAGGAAGCAGGGTTTGTGTTCCCCAGGCAGCCTTCTGACTTATTGCACCTTCCTAGTTCCTTAGTTCAGTCAATAGACTCAATCCTTCTCCTTAGAAGTATCAGGTCATTGACTGTCGCTGCTACAGTGTGATTTTCTAAGTTTTTTCCGTACGTTAGGTTAAATCTCCATTGAGCTGTAGCTTCGCATTCGAAATGTGGGATCACCAAAAGATGATTTGTACTTTTGGGCTTGTATAACGTCACTTGTGGTATTAGTGAGGCTCCATTAAGTATTGGCGCGTGTACTTTGTAGTTCGTGTATGTATTTGTATATTTTAACTCATAATATTATTAATATTAATATTGGTATGGTATGGTATGGTGGAAAAGGATACTAAAAAGCGGGATTTGTATTCCCCAGGTACTGCAGCCTTCTGGCTTATTGTACCTTCCTAGGTCCTTAGTTCAGTGCAATACACTCGATCCTTCTCCTTAGAAGTATCAGGTCACTGACTGTCGCTGCTGCAATTTGATTCCCTAAATTTTTTCCTTACGTTAGGTCAAATCTCCATTGAGCTGTTGCTTCGCATTCGAAGATGATATGAGTGGCTGTTTCCTCCTCCTCATTACATAATCTGCAAATGGGATCATCGCTGTATATACCCATGTTGTGTAGATGTTTTCTCAGATGCCAGTGACCGGTTAGTAGTCCTGCGACTCCTCTGAGTTTGGCCTTCTCCAAAATAGCAGTGTTTTTGCTAGCCTCGGTGAGGGTTGTTTCATCATAAGTTTACTATTTCTAGCACCTCTAGGGTTTATCCACTTCTCCTTTTGTTTTGCTTGGATCCATTCTGCGATGGAGGATTCTATATTTGTTTTTGTTATCCCAAGAATAGGTTCGGGGCCTATGTATGATCTTGCAGTCCTCTTCTGGCCAGTCTGTCTGCTTTCTCGTTAATATTAATATTACTCATAATATATCATTATGAAAAATAGGCGCCTGTCAGTCCTATAGCAATTTAGCAGTCTTCCAGTTTAAAGACGGTTTGCTATCACTAGTCACAATTTAAATTCGTAAAAAGCTCGCTGTCTGTCAATTCCATTTATTTTGAAGTAATTTGGATATAATGTTGATTAACAATAGGAATCATTTAATACTGTTAAAAATGTATACAAATTAAAAACATCATATAGTCTTAATTTAATTAACATAAAAAAAGTAATCTTCAATCTGCTATGCCATTCCCAGCGCCCCACGAACGTCATTAAATGGACGAAACACAATGTTCCCTGAAAAAAAAGTTTAATAGTGTTAGTTTGTATGTTAATAAAACCTCATTTGATATCCTCATTGTCATTTGTATTTAACGAATTTAACAATAAAATCCTGAAAGTCTTCTACCTAAACTTAATCACTATCCTCTCTGGTGTTCCTCGAGGGATCATTCTAGGCCCATTACTTTTCATATAACGGTAGACTTTCCTCATCATTCTAAGACATTCATCTGATGATAATCTACGAACTTCATTCCTGTTCTAGCAGTTGGATCCCTCCTTATGAGTAAATGGGTAATTAAAATTAATGAAAAGAAATCCTTATATGTGTCTTTTACCATTAAACGCAATTCTCTACCGCTTAATTGAATCAAATTCCACTTCCTACAGCGAATCGCGTCAAATACTTAGGGCACATAGGCAAAGACAAATAAAAAACTGCTGGACATCATATAAGTTCAAGATTTACTGTTCACAACAAAAAATTCTTTGAATAGCTTTGATGAAGACGTACGGACTTGAAATGTACGGCTAAAAAAATCAGGCTTTAATAGGATCTGATCCCTCTAGTCAAAAATCCTCCGATCACCAGCCATATTCTCCATTTGAAACTATAGAAACAATCCAACGAGCACAAAATGCCTGTATGAGATATGCATTTAATATTAAACATTATTTTGAATTAATTAAGGTTTTGATTTAGATAAAAATGTGAGTGTCACAAGCGGGATTGGAACCCACGACCTTCGGCTAAATACGCCGCTGCTTACCACTTGAGCTATCGTGACTTCGAACCACTCGGACACCAACTTCTTACCTCAAACCCACCTTTTGAATTTTTCCTCCTTTTTTGCCGTTTTTCAAAAGTCGTGTAATCATTCAGCTTTTGTGAAGATATATAACCGACCAGCATTTGGCAACATTAGGCTAAAGTTTTTAGTTGAGATAAAAAATCAATGTCATGAGCGGGATTCGAACCCACGACCTTCGGCTAGATACGCCGCTGCTCTACCACCTGAGCTATCGTGACCTCGATCGAACACTAACCTTCCATCTCAACCCCACCTTTGAATTCTTTATTTTACGGACCTAGCCAAAATCCGATGCCACCAATTCCACTGCAGTTTATCCCTTAATAACTCCCTCATCTTGACCTTCCACCTTCCCGGTCAATCTACCTCGGAGTTTGAAGCATTAACTGCGCATATAAAGCCATTCATTGGTCATGTAGTCTAAGGGGCTGCCTAACGTTGGTCACCGATGCTCACATACACGTTTAACATGCTACTTATGTTTTTTTCTTCATATAATCTCTCTGATTGCATAAATTGATGCAGTTGTAGATAAAATTTGAAAAAATTTGGATTTTGGCACTGCAGCGAGTTTTGAAGTTTTTATGGTTATCTGAGGTTGAGTATTTGTGAACGGTTTATCTTTTATGATTCAGAATTGTCGAAAGTCAAATTAATGGGATAAGATTGCAAAAGTCCGTGTTTTTTAAAATATTATTGCTGAAATTACTCTATTCAAAAGACATCGTGTAAAAATCTACGTTTTCCAAATAGAAACCAAAAATTGGTATTTTCTTTCTGCTCACTGAAGCTGGCGAAATGAAACAAGTCTGACAGAACGAAATATCAAATATAAGCAGATTAGGATTATCTGAAAATACCAAACATGTCAATTTGTAGATAGGGTTCCTGTCAAACTGGTCTACTTATCCTCGGAGTTTTGCTCTGGCAGACAAATTTTGACATGAGTTATAAAACGCAAATCACAACGTACAAACAAGCCATTGGAGAAATGCTGATCATGTCTGACTGACCGCAGCGAGGATAAGTGGACCATGTCGGAAACGGCCAAACTACAATCAACCTGCAGACCTCAACAAGAAATGTCACAATTTAAATATTTTTGATTTATAATGGAAAATTTTTATTTATTATTGGCAAGTTGTTAGTTAAGTGTGCGTTTCAGAATTTTCAGGATTTCATCTTGCTAAGTTAGTTACAAAAAAACGGACAAAGCGAACAGAATAACGCACAGACAAACCTAAGCAAAATGCCGAAAGGCGACATTCTAAAATAAACCAGGACAAGCGGATTTATCTGCTTGGAAAACGACTAGACTTATTTGGTTCTAACCTAAGGTTTTTCACTTTCATCTTGTGTACAAAAGAGAAAACTAGACAGAAAAACAGGTAGTGAATTCTGTAACGCAAGGTCTCGTATTTTATGGTGACGCGGCAGAATCCGTTGCATTCTGGCTGAAAAGTGCTGCCTCATCCGACGTACTCGCTGGACAAGGTACCTTCGAATTACTGACAGCGGCCGATGCAAACTTATTCAATGAAAAAAAATTATAACAGTTTTGTATTAAAAGAGCCTCAAAGCCGAAGAAAATTGTCTGAAAGTTGGACGAAAATAACATAAAACCTATTATCATCTGATCCCTAATTTTGAAGCATTTGAGACAAATCTATTCCCAATTTTGTTTCAATAAATGGTAAGAAGTAGAATCTATTTTATCAATATTTATTTAGAAATCGTGAGATGCGGTCTGGTGTGATGTAGGTTTCAGAAAAACATTTTCTTTATCGTGCCAACGTTTCGATCTTTATTNAGAAAATGTTTTTCTGAAACCTACATCACACCAGACCGCATCTCACGATTTCTAAATAAATATCGATTAACGGTCACTAATCACCACACATTTATCAATATTATTTTTTATCAATTGTATCTAAGATTTTTATTTCATGATTGATTATCACGAACTGTTCAACCTAATTCATAAAATTCTACGTTGTGCCAAATCATAAAATCATCCTTTCTTCTTCTTTCTTGTGTATTACAAATAAAAACGTTCTACTTCCTTGAGAAATTAACAATTATTAACTAATGATCTTAGAGTGTGAATTAATTTCTTCTTAAGAAAATAAAGGTTAGTGAAATAAAGGGTCGTCCTGCACTCAGCTTTCTCTATGTCCAATCAAATTTTTAGTCTAAGTAGTTAAATATATATTTACTCGAGAAGTGTTGGAATATCCACTGGCCATCTCCGGTCGGGGTGAAGCCCCAATTTTCCGATGGCGACAGGGCGAGTTGCCAGGAGTTTTCATTGACAATCCTCATCGGGTTGGTTTTGTATTTGATCGATTTCATAGGCACGTCCAATTCCCAGTTGATCACCTCGACTTCCTGACCTGTCGCGAAATTTCTGTACGAAACGGAACACGTTGTCTTGTCTGAAAAAAAAAACATTGATTAAACGATCTGTGGTGTTTTATGTATAAACTCAAGAGTAAATCAATCAGATAGTGATGTTTTGAACAGAATTTATTACCGACTGGCTTGACTCAGTCTGAAATGTCAATGGTGCAAACCGGACAACCCTCAATTGCTGCTGACCCTCGGGCGGCCTTGTTTTTGATGCCAGTCAACCAGAATCGACCGAGGTTACGGCAATCTCTCGATGATTTCCAATAGATTTGGAAACCGAGGGCATGCTTCCAAGGACGTAATTGCGATTTCAAGCTTTCATACTTGTTCCTTTCTTTTATTTAATCCTGAATTAATTTGCTAAGGGTCAGTGAAAATAATCTTCACAATACACGAGGATATTTTAACATTTGTGAACTTTTTTGTACTAAAAGGTCATTAGAAAAGAACTAAATAGACCGAACGAATAAATTGATCAATTTGCAGTAGGATAGTTTACCATCAGGTCGCCTATCCGAGTCTATTTTGAATTGTCGGACTCACCTTTTTGTCATTTGTGTCCCTTTTTGTATAACTAACCCACCACAAAGGTACGCGGCTAACGAGGACTGGCAGATGATGAGAATCGACCAAATTGTAGGTTCATCACTCCGCAAACCTCAAAGAGAAATCTCACTATTGGCTACGCTGCCTGCCTTTACATGAGAAAAATTAATTTTAGATTATCACTTTTCAGTGACCTTCCAATGATCAAAGCCATCTGGAAGTACCTGAAGTACAGCGAAGCATCCGCCAGAATTTGTTTGTTATTTTGTAAATATTGTATCTTTTTGTGTAACTATCGCAGCTAAGCAAGACTAAGTCCTAGTACGCACTGGGATTCTTTGAGTCGATTCATGTTCCGGGGTAGAGTCGGGGCTGCGTAGAATCATTGTTGCGATGCAGCCCCGACTCTTCTCCGCGACAAAGAATCGTGTCCAGACCAAGATTCAGTTCACATTCATCAGTGCCTGCGAAAATGATGGAGGAACTAGCTCTCTCGGGAATTTCCCTTGCTCTTTTTTTGCATTGCACGTAGTGCATCCAATTGGAAGTGCTTTAAAAAACTGTCCTTTTAAAGAGTGATTTTTTTTCAATTTCGGCTTCGGAAACACTCAATTTTTGGGCTAAACCGTTCAATGTTTGGCTTTTCAATTCCTGATTTCTGTATTCCGTGAATGATAATCCCACAAACACCGATGGGAATGCATGTCTTCAATAAACTGTAAAGTCAACTCTGTACTCCACAACATAACTTTATACAAGACACTTCTGGAGTGGCGGATGCCACACGGCAAAGCAAAAAAAAAAAAATACAAGACACTTGCAAAATCTTCAAGAAAACACTCACTAGAACGTCAACTAAAAAGCAAAAGCGCTTGTTCCGATTCTCGTCCGCACTGGCAAATGTTGCGCAACATTGAGTCAAAGAATCCCACATCGGATGGGATTCAAAAGAGTCCGAAAATGCTAACCCGCAACACACCAGATTCATCGCAACAATGCGTCGGGGCAGCCCGGACTCAGGCTAGACGCAGCCGAGACTCTCCAAAGATTCAAAGAGTCGACTCAAAGAATCCCAGTGCGTACTAGGCCTAACGAGGAACAGGAAGAAGGGTTGATCAGAAACGACCTATCTTAGAATTTATAATTAGTTTGAACTGATCCGCCTATCCTCGCTGTTTTGGTCAACAGTCAAGCTCAGTATTTCACCAGTGGTTCCTCTGTGCGTCGTTGAGTGAGTTGTGTCCATTTTTATATAGCCTAATGACGACACTTATCTGACATAACAAAACCCCGAGAATAGGAAGTTTGACCGGAAACGACATATCTAGAAATGTATATGTAGTTTAGTCGTTGTAGATTTGATCCGTCTATCCTGTTTTGGTCAGTCAGTCAAGCTCAGTTCACTAGTGTTTTGTCTGTGCGTCATTGTGTAAGTGGTGTCTATGTAATCTATTGACGAAACTTGTCTGACAGACGAAAAGAGCAAGGGTAAAGGACAGTTTGTCCAGAATCTATTGGTACATTACGATTATGCTTTTTTTTTGGAGGAGTTCCCTCCTGAACACTGCAGCTGTACAGCTTATTGTACTTTATCGCTGGCTCCATTTTTGGGGGCTCGCAACGCAAGTGTGAATTTGAGCCACCGGTTTGCCGGTGTACCTCCATCGAGATCATTTTTGAATGGGGTTGGGACCAAATTCAGGGTCGCTGAGATCTGATCCCGCTCCTTCCATTGATGAGTGCCATGTCAATTTCTTTCAATTGCGGTCACCGGTCCCCTTAGGCGTCAGAAAAATTCCAGAGGCGACGGTCGATGGGGATCGAACCCAAGACCGCGGGATCTACTTAGCCGAGAATCTGACGCCTTAACGACTCGGCAACCGCGCCCCCCCACGATTATGCTAATTTAGCTTTAACATTTATGTTTGTCAGACGTGTTTTCAATTCATAATCTTTAGTGGTTTGACTAAGTGTCTTTTTGTAAGTTGTGTCCCTTTTTATATAGCCTAATGCAGAAACTACGAAAACAGCGACGATGCGAGGACAGTTTGACCTAGACAACCTATTTTCAGATTTATATGTAGTTTGGAACATTACGATTATGCTAGTTTAGCCTTATTTGATATTTTTGTTTGCCAGACGTGTTTTCATTTCATAATCGTTAATGGTTTATGTTTGTGCCTTTTTGTTTAGTTTAATGCCAAACCTTGAAGGACAGACCTAACGACCTTTAACCCAAGAACGACGAGGATTGACACTTTGACCGGTAACGACCTTTCTACAAATTGATATGTGGTTTCGTATTCTCCGACAATACTAGACTACGAGTAATTGATATTTTGGTGGTTCATTCTGTCATCTTCATTTGTATGTCTGTTTGTTAACAAACAAACACAGGATTGACTTGATGCTTAATGTATAACGGACCAAAACGACGTGCAGGACATTTTGACCGGAGTAATCATCATTGGCTCCCAACATTCGATGTTATTAGCCAGTCAGGCTGGCATATGCATTTCGTACCTTCAGTGGTTTGTCGGTTCGTCATCCATCTTAAGTCAAACTTTTTTACAGTTTTTTAAAATATATTACATAAATATCAAGGCCTATGACAGGGTTCGAACCTACTACGGCAAATGTCTGTAACGGACGCCCAAACGCCTCCACGGTACCCTTGGTTTGTTATTGGCTATACAATAAACTTAACAATTAGGGAAATGCCGAATTATTTTTGGTATTGGCTTTAGAGCCATAAACCATGTGTAGCCGTGCGGCAGCAAACGCCCCGCGAACGGCCGGAATGGGGGAACCCATCTACCCCCGGTACTGCACCCACATGAAAGCCAGCATTCTCTCCTTTTTTCTTAGCGTATTTTGTTTGTTTTATAAACCGTGGCTGACTGTTTTAGAAGAATAAGCATTTGTGCCATGCCATTCACTTCCTTCTCCAGTCAGGGGTAGAAACACAACCCAGCACCTACTTTTGCTAAATATTGTTTACATACAGCATGGTTACATCTTAACCTATTTATGGTTTTCCCGAATGCTTTCCCTACATTGTCCTTTTTGAACCAACTTTCTGTACAAACATTTGGTTGAATCTGCTTGTAAATTCACCACACTTTTTAAGTTAAATCGATTTGATCTTATATTTGTTTATTTATACATTTTTTTGAGAAATAAATAAGATAAAAGGGATTTTATTAACCTGTATTATGCGCCCATTTGTACAATATCTTCCATCTCCCTCTGTTTGAGTTCCAGTTCCAGATTACAGTCGCTTCCTGGCAATTCTTTTGCGCCTTTTTTTGCATCCACCACTTTGACATCTAAAACATAATAAAAATATTGCTTATGTTTGTATAAATAACTTTTGATTATTTTGGTCTGCCTATCCGGTTTTGGCTAGACGTTGTAAATTGTTATTGTTGTTTTCCGTAATCTTTAGTTTTGGTGCCTTACCCTGTTTATATTTCTGACCCCGGGATTGTCGAAAACGACCAAAATATAAATAACAGTCGAGAATGTTGGTCGAACCCAACACAACACAATGACCAACCAAGAGAGTATATGCAGACCAAAATTAACGTTAACGACCGTATTAGGTTCGTCATCCCTCAGGCTACAGAAATCTCACAAAGTTTGAGTTAATTGGCTAATAACATAAACAATAAGCATACCTCCTTTTTATCGTTTGATGATAAAGTGCAGAAATCAGGAGGGTATTGCAAGTCCTCGCCAAAAGGATTGTGTCTTTTGTTCTCTTGAAACAAAACAAGATAAATGAATAAAATAGGATTGCAATAAGATTTTTGTAAAATGTATACTCGAGTAAATCCTGAACGTGTATCTTCCATAATTAGATGGTATGAAACCGAACACATCACCGTTGTAGTTGATATTCCACGCGTTGGCGTAGACTGGGATCGCGTTGCTCTCCCAATTTTTGATATACCCCCAGGACACGGTGGCCTGCTCTTTGCCGGCCATGTAGGTCGAACAATTAACGAAAATCGCCGTCCCTTCGTACCAACCGCCTGTGAAGACAAAAATTAAAAAACCCGAACACGTTTTTGCTTCAATAATGATAATTACTCGGGTAATTGTACTTGTAAGTGACGTTCCAACTTCCTCCGCGTACTTCCCAGCTCCAGTTGATGGAATGGAGAGAGTTATCGCGAACAACGAGGCCGCTCATGTCCTCTGGACTTCGGATCACGTCATATCTGCATGGTGGATGCTAGAGTATGTTCGATTCGGTTAAAATAAGTAAATAAAATAATTCCCATCCAATAATTGTAAAACAGTACAGGTCATTATGATTAAATGTGATTGTTACAATGTCTTTACCGTACAGGATGGCAGTGCATGTCGAGTTTTTAAAATGATGAAAATAAAAACCACTTGTGAAAATATATACTGCATAATATCAATAATAACACAAAAAAATCGCAACTATCACTGACTTCAAATGAACTATGAATAAGCTTTTTCCATGATGTTAATTTTGATTTAACTTTTTCTGTTATCAGATTTTACGGGACAATGGACGACAGGACGTCAGCGGAAGCTGATCAATCTTTCACCGTGAGTTTTGTTTTGTCTAGAATTAATGAAAAGTCGCCTTGATAAAATTCATTCCTGTATATCCTTGTAAACGGAAATTCCCAATTTAGACAGTGACTAATGTCCTGTGTAATTTTTGTAATGGTACAATCGGAGGGATGATAAATCTGCAGTTTTGTGGGCGATGGGAGCGTTCTGCAAGTAGTTTGTCTGTATGTTGTATTGTAAATTATGTCCCTTTTTATGTAATTAGCGAAAAGTCGAAATGTACATCAAAACGACGAGGGGAGGCACACCAATTGATCGGAAACAGGCTCATCTCCCAACAGACCTTAATGAAAAAGTTTTCATCATTTCGCCAGTGGTTTTTCTGCTTTTTCGTTTCACTTGTTTGTCTTTTAACATAACTTATTCACCGCTGAACTGGCCAAATACCTAAATTACTCTGACATACTGAAACCGCGAGTATAGGCAGACCAAAACGATCCGAAATAAGTTCTTGACACAGCAGACTACGTTAAGAAGAGTTCTGCTTGTAATTGAGTTTTCCGTGTAATTTCGTGGAGTTATTTCATTATTCTTTTAAAGTAACAATTTCATCATAGAACCGGGCAAATGTATAAATTGGTCGGAGGGAACAAAACAGCGAGGGTAGGCGGACCACAACGATCCGAAATAGGTTCTTCAGACCGCAGACCTCGTGGAGAAAGGTTTCGGCATGTGGTCAGTTGTTTTTCTGCGTTTTTATTTCAGCTATTTCTCTATCAAAATAACCCATCGCTGAACATTTCGAATGCATACATTGGTCTAACAGTCCAAAACAGCGAGGGTAGGCGGACCACAACGATCGGAAAAAGGTTTTCGTCACACCGCAGACGTCGTGGAGAAAGGTTTCGGCATGTCGTCAGTTGTTTTTCTACGTTTTTATTTCAGCTATTTCTCTATCAAAATAACCCATCGCTGAACAGGCCGAACTCATAAATTGGTCTAACAGTCAAAAACAGCGAGGGCAGGCGGGCCTCAACGATGGGAAAAAGGTTTCGTCACACCGCAGACCTCGTGGAGAAAAATTTCGGCATGTCGTCAGTTGTTTTTCTGCGTTTTTATTTCAGCTATTTCTCTGTCAAAATAACCCATCGCTGAACAGGTCGAATGCATAAATTGGACTAACAGTCCAAAACAGCGAGGGTAGGCGGACCACAACGATCCGGAATAGGTTCTTCAGACCGCAGAACTCGTGGAGAAAAGTTTCGGCATGTCGTCAGTTGTTTTTCTGCGTTTTTATTTCAGCTATTTCTCTATCAAAATAACCCATCTCTGAACATGCCGAATGCATACATTGGTCTAACAGTCCAAAACAGCGAGGGTAGGCGGACCACACCGATCCGGAATAGGTTCTTCACACCGCAGATTGCATAATTGAGTTTTCCGTGTAATTTCGTGGGTTGTTTCTCTTTTCAAAATAACAATTTCATCGCTGAACTGGGAAAAGGTATAAATTGGTCGGCCGGACCAAAACAAAGAGGACAGGCAGGTTAAAACTATCGGAAAAAGTATGTGGTGTTTAGTGACCGTTAGCCAACGATTATTTGGAGATCGTGAGGTGCGGTCTGGTGTGAAGTAGGTTTTAGAAAAACATTTTCTTTATCATGCCAACGTTTCGATCTTTATTGAGATCATCTTAAGACCTCAAAGTTTTTTCTTGTTTTTAAACGAAAAACCATTACCCTTTTTTACCCCATTTCCCCTTTCACCTCAAAGAAGTCGACTCCTCAGAAAAATGAATTTCTATCCCTACTTCCTTCCCCACTCCTTCCATATCAAACATATAAAACAAAAAACGTTTATATCTCACTAACACTCCCAACACGACACACAACAATGACACATCTATACAGAAAACACATACTTTGATTAAACAGAAAATTTCTGCTTTATGAAAATCATTGTATAAATTCATTTTCACACCTTACATGTATTTGTATAATATAATCAATGTTTGTAAATTCCAGGCCCTGATGATGATCTAAATAAAGATCGAAACGTTGGCACGACAAAGAAAATGTTTTTCTAAACCTACATCACACAAGACCCCATCTCACGAACTCCAATTAATCATTAATTAACAGTCATTAAGTACTACACATAACAAGGAAGAGAAAATTCGAAAAACTTTAGGCTGTAAGGAAACAATATGTGGACATTTAGAGGAATATTACAAAAAGTTCGAATTATAAAGAGGGAAAGTGGCTCCATTTCGATTTATACAATTCTTGTTCTCCACCTGTTACGAAAAATATTTCGTTTTATCGAGTGTATAAAAATATACAGAATTTTTTCGATTTACTAAAGTGACCTGCTCTGAGGAGTCTGTATTATGAAGAAATTCCAATTATCGAGTTTCGAATTGACAAGGGTCGATGGTATTACGAGCGCAGGGCAGACCTGCGTAAAGAGATGCGCGTCTTCTACGGAAAAGTCTACCGTGCAGTAGATGCTGACCTCTCACGGAAGGAATGCCAAACCGTTCTCCAGTATTGACTTATCGCTGGCGCACTTTCCTGTCTCGTCGGGCAAACAGGCTGTTCAGTCCTTTTGACACGTAAAGTAAAAAAGAAAAAAATCCTGGATAAGCTGGAAAACGAGACTATCCGTTAGAATCAACATTGAAGGGCAATATCGTTCCAATCGGATCATAATTTAAAACTTTTTTACCCGTTGGGATTAGGTTCAATGGTTTTCAGGCTATGGTTTTTAGGTACATGATCGACTAATTCCAGACCTGCTCGTTTAGAAAAAAGAACGAAATTGAGTGTCTAAAACCGATCGTCACTTAGAAGGTCGATACACACGCGTGTACAGAGTTGGGCCTATCACATCTCGCAGTCTCCAGCACTTAAAATTTATGTAGTCTACAATGTATTACTGGCAGACCTCGAGAATCACCCACCCTGGGTGTTGGCAGTTCGGGATACGACCTCGGTCTTATCCAGCCAACTATCTACATCGGCTATCAACACTATGTCATTTTAGCCCCCAACGCAATTCCTAAATCCAAACTCATTCACACTCTCACTCACTTTGGTGTTGACGGAGATGGTAATGAGGATATTAGGAAGCGGGGTTTGTGCTCCCCAGACACTGCAGCCTTCTGGCTTATTGTACCTTCCTAGTTCCCTAGTTCAGTGCAGAAGTATCAGGTCATTGACTGTCGCTGCTACAATTTCATCCCCTAGGTTTTTTCTCTACGTTAGGTTAAGTCTCTATTGAGCCGTTGCTTCGCATTTGAAGATGGTATGGTGTTTGGGTGGCTGTTTCCTCCTCCTCATTGCATAATCTGCAAATGGGATCATCGTTGTACATGCCCATGTTGTGTAGATGTTTTCTCAGATGTCAGTGACTTTAATAGTCCTATCATCACTCCTATGAGTCTAGTCTAGCCTCAGTTGCAGCAGTGAGTTTGCCAGTCTTGTTGAAGGTTGTTTCATTATAATTTTACTGTGTTTAGCGCCGCTAGTGTTTATCCCCTTCTCCTTTTGTTTAGTTTGGATCCATTCTGCGATGGAGGATTCTATATTTGTTCTTGTTATTCCAAGTATAGGTTCGGGGCCTATGTATGGTCTTGCAGATCTTCCTCTGGCCAATGTGTCTGCTTTTTCGTTACCCAAAATTCCTCTGTGCCCTGGCACCTAATACATCATCAGGTTGTTGTGTTTCCCCAGGTTTTGGAGAATTTTGATGCATTCACTGACTGATTTTGATGTGTTTTTTTACATCAAAATTAGTCAATCTCACTCACTTTTAAACATATTCTTTCTCGTGGTCGATGGGGTACCCAACATCCCGCCATTGGGCTTTCATACTACACCTTCACGCTAATAAATACACACATTCTTAACATCCACTGGGGACAAAGCAATGTGAGCACTAAATTATATAAAACAACCCTCCTCCAACCAAGAATCGTTAGAGGGGATCTAAAAATTTGCTGTCATGCTCAAGAACTATTCTCATATTCCTACACGCTCTCTATATGGAGCCAAGAATTGCAAGATGTGTGGTATGTGTCCATGATTTTTGGTAAAACCCAAAATGGAAATGCAGTCCACTATACCGCCGACAATTATTTTCTTAAATTTTACTTTGATTTCATTTTGTATTTTTAAGAAAATTATGTACATGATATTTAATGATGACCCTGATCATCGAGGTCGATGTTTTGCCTAGTTTAGCTGTATATTTACTGGCAAACATTCGACATTTTGCCATCATCAGTAGTTCAGTCGGCCCGTTGTACCGTGAAAAGTGCAAATTTAAAAACCGATAAACCACTGGCGAATATAAATATATTATATTTAATAATAAAAAGAAATAGGGGCGTCGGTGGCCGCAACGGTTTAGGCGTTGACACGGCGCTCATCACTGTAAGGTAAAGGTCCCGGGTTCGAATCCAGCGGCCCTGCATTCGAACCCGACATAATTACAAATGGTCTTTTTTTCAAAAACACCGGCACCCCGAGAGTTTATATGACCTCTGCTGTTGCAAACCCTCGTAAAATTAAAAAATAATAAAATAAAGAAAAAGAAATAAAATAAAATAAATAAAAACTAAATAACTATCTAAATAGAATGTAACTATGTTCTAGATAGCCCCTAATGATCCTGGCCAGCAAGTTTTCGCTGTATTTTTCTGGATTTGAGTGATAAAAGTTTATTGTATAAAATAAAATAACATAATTTTTCCAATAAATACGTAAACTTAAATCGCCGGGATTTGGCACTTTGAAATGTCTAAAATAATTACGAGCAAAACATACCCAATGCATAAGGAATGTAATATACATACATGAAAGAAAAGAGGAAGTAGAAAGAAACAAAATATTCACAATAAAAAAATAA